CACATTGTGTCATGTTACAACCAAAAACGGAAATGTATTTTATTGGGATTTTATGTGATAGACCAACACAAAGTGGCACATAATTGTGAAGTGGAAGGAAAATGATAAATGGTTTTCAAAATTTATTACAAATAAATATCTGAGAAGTTTTGCATGCATTTGTATTCTGCCCCCCCCCCCCCCCCCCCCCCCCCCCCCCGTCAATACTTTGTAGAACCACCTTTCGCTGCAATTACAGCTGCAAGTCTTTTTGGGGATGTCTCTACCAGCTTTGCATATCTAGAGAGAGTGAAATTTTTGCCTATTCTTCTTTGCAAAATAGCTCAAGCTCTGTCAAATTGGATGGAGAGCATCTGTGAACATTTTTAAGTCTTGCCACAGATTCTCAATTGGATTTAGGTCTGGACTTTGACTGGGCCATTCCAACACATGAATATGCTTTGATCTAAACCATTCCATTGTAGCTCTTGCTGTATGTTTAGGGTCGTTGTCCTACTGGAAGATGAACCTCCGCCCCAGTCCCAAGTCGTTTGCAAACTCCAACAGGGTTTCTTCTAAGATTGCCCTGTATTTGGCTCCATCCATCTTCCCATCAACTCTGACCAGCTTCCCTGTCCCTGCGGAAGGAAAGCATCCCCACAACATGATGCTGCCACCACGTTTCACGGTGGGGGCGGTGTGTTCAGGGTGATGTGCAGTGTTAGTTTTCCGCCACACGTGGCGTTTTGCTTTTAGCCAAAAAGTTCAATTTTGGTCTCATCTGACCAGAGCACTTTTCTTCCACATGTTTGCTCTGTCCCCCACATGGCTTCTCGCAAACTGAAAATGGGACTTCTTATGGCTTTCTTCTTGCCACTCTTGCCATGTCTTGGTAAGTATGCAGTTGTGCCATACTCTTTCCATTTTCAGATGGTGGATTGAACAGTGCTCTGTGAGAGGTTTTAAACTTCTCCACAACTTTATCTCTGAGCTGTTTGGCGTGTTCCTTGGCCTTCATGATGCTGTTTGTTCACTAATGTTCTCTAACAAATCTCTGAGGGCTTCATAGAACAGCTGTATTTTTATTGAGATTAAATTACATACAGTTGGACTCTATTTACCAGTTAGGTGAGTTCTGAAGGCAATTGGTTCCACTAGATTTTAGTTAAGGGGATCAGAGTAAAAGTGGGCTGAATAAGCTCAGGGAAGACTTCAAAGTTAGGACTGACTCTAGGCTACATACATTGGATACAACAAAGTGCATGCAGCAGGCTGCACCAGAGCAGTTATGGTTGTAAAATGGGGGCACGTGTTACAATGGGATTGCCCTCCTGTTACAGTAGGAATGCATGCCCCCCCAATATGATTCCTACTATCAGATATAATGGGCTGCATGACAGGAAGTATTAAGCTCAGGGTTATGGGGCTAGGTCTCACGAAACCCAGACAGCTGTAGGTCATAGTTCCATAGGGCTTTTTTGCATAGTAACAGCATCAGGGTGTAAAGGAGTCATCAATGTTGAATGGCAGGAAAGGATGCAGAGTGTCTGCAAGCAACACACTCCACCCAGCAGATGATGTTAGCACTCAATCCCTCTGACATTACCTCTTTCTGACATTGAAACAGGCAGAAAACCGAAAATTCAAAGGGCATCCAGCAACCTAAAAAATAGGAAAGCTCCCAATGCTCAGCCTGATCGGTCTACCCGAGACAGCGCAAAAGACACCTATTCTCCAAGGATGCTAGCAATGAAACTGTGGTAAATAAACTGAGACATGCTTGTAGTAAGGGGATATCTTGAGCTGGCCGCCAGTTTTATTTTTATTTTTTTGCCAGAGTCCAGTCCTCCTGTAGACGACAGTATAACCCAAGAGTGAATGGCTCCCTGTGTCCTTCAATGGACAGAAAGAAAAGAGGCTTTCATTTACAGTACTGTGACAGATACAGTAACCAGAGAAGACACTGGAAGGATAGCAAGAAAAGGAGTAAGAACAGGTTTAATGGTGCAAGAAAATCTTAAAATGAGTAAAAGACCGCAGTGTCAGCACAGCAGACAGTTTAGTGTGTAAGAAAGAACCGAGCAATATTCACACTAATAAAAAGCAGACAATGAAAAATGAATTTGAGCACTGCAGGAGATCAGAAAAAAAAATAACATGCAGAAATAGTGATGACAATATGAGGACAGGCATCCTGAAAAGAAAAGCATTAAAAAAAATTGCAGATACTGGTCCCCAGTTGAGAGGTCAGAACAGATCTTGCTGCAGATAAGTGTCAAAAGGACCAAGTAAAATAAAACCAAGAGGCATGGTAGATTTTCCAGAGCAGGGGGGGCAAAACTGATAACACAGATGGTGAAGGAGGTATGCCAATTGCAGCTAATCTGTGCATTGGTGTAGCTTTCAGCCTCAAGTATCATTTAGTTTGCTGCAAAGGTGTTCATGAATGTCCACAAAAGCACCATAAACACCATATGCATAATTTAGGTATTACATAACTGAGGCCTGGGCTGACATATTTGAATATTACATTATTTTTAAAGAAATCATGCAATTAATTATGTTGTCTTCACCAGACAAAAAATGTTCTTTTTTTTTTTCACAGTGGCTTTGGAACAAAGTTATATTTGAAAATGTATGTTGCGCTAGATAAAGAAAAAAAAAAAAAAGTTGCAGCTGCTTTTTCTTCATTTGTTTTTATAGACTTTCTGGTGCATACAATCCTAAGAATCTCTAGCAATTACCAGATAGCATTTGTCAAATTACGATGAATGGAATCTTAATACTGGGGTGACGGGTGACTTGCAAACCAGCCCACACCTGATCAGAGAAGCTCAATGCCTAGTTGCACTTAATGAAGCTAAAAGGAAAAAAGCCAAAAGAGGCCACTTGGCATGCATTCACACCTGCAAATACACCCTGCCTCCCAATAGATGCAAGAACCCCATGGGGTTCACGCAATTAGCTGCGAGAGGTTGCTCCATTGAAAGCAATTGGAGGCTGCTGGCTCTCACAGCTAATCATGGATACTCACATGTGATCACTTGCAGCGATCAGGTGCAAGTGATCAGTCTCTGGGTGCAGGCAGTGTGCATTCAGAGCTGATCGCTCGCATGCGATTGCTGCATGAGCAATTATATGCGGGTGGCCACAATTAGCTGCAAGAGCCAGCAGCCTCTAGTTGCTTTTAATTGGGTTGCCTCTGAACATGATGCATTTATACAGAAATATTTCTGCTGTTGTACAAAGGTGTAGGTAAAATATAAAGCAGACATTAATAAAAGTATTATCATTGTGTATTAATAAAGCAATTAAAAATATTAATTTGATATTAAACCCCAAAACAAAAATTAAATAAAGTACAGCTTAGCAATCCTTCAACATTGTGGCTGTCTTAGTTTTCTAAAGAGTAACTCCACTTTGCTAAAATCCTTGCAATGTAAATAGATCATCCACAGGAAAATGTTTTTTCTGAAGCAAACTTTGTTGTAGATGCCTACCCTTTGTTATTCTGAAGAAATTGCTGTCTGTTTTTCTGTGTTAATGTGCAGAGTGAATCTGCATGGGAGTGGTTTTTCTAATTATTGATCATCTACTGCACCTGCAGAGCTCTAATGAGGAAACTGGCAAGGTCGGCATCCCTCTGGACATGGTTTTCCTTTGGGAATATCTCACCAAAAATGATATTTTTTTTGTTGCAGGGGACGCCAAAAATGTGACTTGTATCTTAGTGCAGACATATCGGAAAATCAGTGAGCCAATCACTTAAGTAGGAAATGACATTTTTGGGAGGTGTTCTGTACACCATCTGTGTACAGATCACCTCCAGGTAGCCATACTGCATTGCATTTTACAGAAAATTACAGCACCACAGATTGAATAGGAAAGTTAATGTTGAATAGCATTCAATTACAATATGACTTGAGTCGCTATTGTATATGCTATATTATATATAATTTTTTTTATTTGCCAATTTCTTTTTTCCAACAAAAGTGAAGTTACCCTTTAAGTAACACTAACATATATACAAAGTCATTTTACACTATTCTACTGTTAACTGAACATTGAAATACAGATTTAATTTTAGGTGAAGGGTGCCACTGACAGACTAACAGGGGTCTCAAACTTTCTAAATATAGGGCCATTTTGAGGCCATCAGACTTTGAGGGGGCCATGCTGTGGCCAGTGTGAGTAGAAAATGCCCTGGCATCAATGGGAGTAAACAATCAATGGTGTCAGTGGGAGGAATAGTGCACCGTGTTGGTATTAGCGAAAAGTATAGTGCCCCATCATTGGTGTTAGTGGGAAGAATAGTGCTCTGCCATTGGGTGTCAATGGAATCAGTGCCCCATCATTGGTCTCAGCGGGAGGAATAGTGTCTCCATTATTGGTGTCGGTGGGAGGACTAGTGTCTTTTATCAGCGAGAGGAACCCTGCCCCAAGGGCTGAATAAAGGCAAGCAGAGTGCTACACTTAGCCCCCGGGATGCAGTCAGGAGACCACTGGTCTATAACATTACACTTATTCATGCGGCCATGAGGCCCGAACCTCTCCTATGAATTTAAAAACTTCTCTCCTCAAGATGTTCTTCATAGAAACCCACCAGAGGAACTGCACAGACCAGGATCTTAACAGATAATTCTCATTTTACACAAATGTTACCAGTAACACCCATCAGAAGGGATGGCGTTAATAAATCTTGGGTGAATCTTTTCCTTGCGGGTCAGTGGCTGTACAGCAATGTAACATGAGTAACATTTTCACTACAAATTTTTAACTGGGATTTTTTCCTTCATATTAACCCCTTTTTTAATGGTCAGAAAAGTCATTATGAAAAGTGGGATCAACACACTGGAAGTAAAGCAGTACAGACCTGTTGCTTTTATTATTCTAATTAGCTTCCCATGCTAGAAGAGAAATGCACTCATGTAAACACATATTAGTGTTACACAGATGTTAATGACAGTACACACATACACACACACAGGTACACAATACCTGGCACACACTATGGGTCACGCTCAGATGCAGACAGCTCTCCTCCCCTGACAGGAAAAAAAGAAAAATGCCAGAGCATGTGAACAGCGAACATCATCATATGAGACTGGTTCACAGCAGCATGGCTGTCAAATACAGCGAGTAAAAGTTTTGTTGCATAGCAATATTCATCTCTCCTCCTCACTAGGCTTCTTATGGATTTGACATAAAGGCCCAGGGTTTATCTCTAGAGCAAACTGGATGTTATTAGAGAAGAAAGACAAGTTTCTATTTCTTATTTAGCATTTTATGTCTGAACACGATACAATCTCTCTAAAGATGATACAAAGTCTTATACGGGTAGATTTGCATACATTCTCACCTAAGACTCGGCAACCTTCAGCCATGAGGTGATTAACGACATTCCCAAAGGCAGCCACCTTGAGATTCAGTCTATTATACTGATCTAATTCACAACAAAAACAATACAGTGTACCCCCAATTTTCACACACAGCTATGGTCACTTTGGCACTCACCTTTTTGATTGTATTTTGCTTGCTTCCTGCACTCTCATGCATTATATCCATCGCGCTCTCTCGCTCCTTTAACTTAAGGGACTCGATTTCTGTTTTCAGCTCATTCAGCTGTTCTTGCAGGTGGCGGCTCTTTTCCATGTACTCTACCCTGAGGAAAAACAAGTATGTACTGTATGTATGCAATCAAACATAATAAAATGTATCAATGACTAGGATGGCACTGTATTCTATTCATAAACAAGAAAACATTACCAATTATCCCCTTATGTGATGTTATGAGACCCTTACACCATCTGCAGTTTAAGCCTAATTTGGTTGACACCATTGGAGATTATACATACATGTTATAGTTATGGACTGCCTGTTGCAGTGTTAATGTTGTGAGTGACACCGAAGAGCAAGTTTTGGCAGTGATAGGTTACCAGAGAGCTCTGAACAGCAGAGGAGTTGCTTACAAATGGGAAGAGTCTGCACTCAGTTAGGGTTCTCCTGCGGAAGACACTGTGGCTGAGGCAGCGAGTGTCAAGACAAGCCAGCAGTGTGCATGTCCAATCCTGTCTGGCCTAAACAAACAGGCTCCCAAACCAAACAGGTTTATATCTGGTGTGAATGAGATTTGGAGACTGTCGAGAGAAATGTAGTCTTTGTGTAAAGCCTGAATAACCAGGTTCGAACCACACCAACATCTGATGTGAATGAGAGCTGGAGACTGTCGAGAGAGAGATGTAGTCTCCATGTGAAGCCTAAAAAACCAGGGTGTTCAAACCACACCAACGTCTTATGTGAATGAGAGTTGGAAACTGTCAAAAGGGAAATGTAGTCCTTGTGTGAAACTAGAAATATAGAACCTGAAACCAGCTTAATATCTGATGAGAATAAGAGTTGGAGATTGTCAAGAGAGAAATGTAGTCTGAGTGAAGCCTGAATACCCAGGTGTTTGAACCACACCAACTTCCAATGTGAATGGGAGCTGGAAACTGTCAGAGAAATTATGACTTTGTACAAAGCCTGAATGGACAGGCATCTGTATCAGACCAACGTCTGATATGCACAGGAGTTGGAGACTGTCAACAGAGATATGTAGTCTCTGTGTAAAGAACGCATGTACAGGCACCTAAACCACATCATTGTTTTACAAATTCTATATTTATTTAGGACAACAGAACAGCAGAAGACACGTAACATGCACCCATACAAGCATAAACAAAATACAGAAGAGAGGTATCAAATGTAATATGAGTATGTGCAAATTCCAAGATAGTACAGGGAAAAATACAATCCCAAGGCATAAAAAAAAAGCAACTCAGTACGCACAAAATGTCAAAACCCCACTGTCCGTTGTGATTAGGCAAAAAAAGGAGAAGGACAAAGAGGTAGGAAAGGGCAAGAAGTCAAGAAGAACGGGAGGGCAAGAGGAAAAAAAGGAAAAAAAAAAAAAAAAAAAAAAAAAAAAAAAAAAGGAGGGGGGTGAGGGGAACTACGTAAAAGCCAAGTAGGAGCAAATTAATCCTCTCCCGTTGCAAGGAGAGACTTCCCTTCTGAGTAAACAAACAAGTTCCACAAAGTCCATGCTTTAGAGTAGACATAACGCTTATGTTGATGCGCAAGCATCAAGTCTTCCATATGGTTCATTTCCCTAATTTAACATAACCAGAGCTCCAGCAAGGGAGGATGAGTCTTCCGCAAACAAAGAAATGCAGGACTTGGCTGCATTTAATAGATGACGAACAACCGATCGCTTGTAAGCCTTGAGTGACATATCGGTGACATGGAACAGAAAAAAACGCTGGATCCATAGGCACAGAATGGTCCGTGAATTTTTGTATAATATGACAAACCCCCTCCTAGTAGTGCACAATCCGAGAGCACGACCAGAATATATGAAGAAGTGTCCCTTCCGTCTCCTGACATCTCCAGCTAAGACTGCAGTTGGAAGGAGAAAGCTTTCACAACACCACAAGAGTTCTGTAGCAACAGGACAATACCTTAACGTTGCCCCCCTGCACTCCCGTGCACAAGGACAACTTCAGTGAGAGTAAAAGGATAGAAGACTGCGTTTCCGCAAAAAAGGTTTCCCAAGGTCTGATTCCAACTTCAAGAGATAAGAAGGGGTAAAGTCCAGAGATGGCGCCAGGAGTAGGTTATAAAAACTTTAGATAAAGCATTAGGTAGAGCACCCTCATCAGAACAGAAGCCCTCCAGCACGGTAAGTGGGTGTCGAAAACTGGCGGCTGGGGGAAGCGAGCTCAAGAAATGTCACAGTTGGAAGGCTTTCCAGTAATGCAAGTTGAAAGGACCTGCCAGGTCACAGAGAAGTTGCAAAGAAGGCCAAGAACCATTAATTAAAAATGAGAGGCCTGGAACCTCCCTGAACGGAATAGAGACATAAAGGGACCATGAAGGAGGCCCGGTTCAAAATGGGGATTCCCCAATATGGGATAGAGGAGGGAACAGTCTGACGTCAGGGAGGGAGAGACAAAAAGAAAGAAGCAGATACAAAAGGTCGTACCAAGCAGTGGATGCATCTTGAGCACAGGAGGAGGAGAGCTAACGGACCATGGAGCCCTACCAAGAAAAACCTGAGTCTGAGTTTGCTTGATATGGGGCCATAATTTAATGTCACCATGTCGGCCCCGGATGTGTCGCTTGATAATACTTATGGAGATCCAGGACTGCAAGTCCACCACAGCGTTTGGGCAAAGACAGAAGTTTACGTTGGACCCGCGGTTTTTGCTTTGCCCAGATGAAGTCGTAAAGCACCGCCTCAGCCTGTTTAAAAAAAACCGTAAAAAGGGATAGAAATCGGGAGGGCCTGAAAGAGATAGAGGAACTTGGGCAAAATACACATCTTTACAATGTTGCATCGGGCGAACCATGAGTACAAGCCCTTATGCCAAATGGACAATAGAGAACGAACCCCACTGAGAAGTGGGGGGAAATTCAAGGAGAAAGTCTGAGAACTGTGAAGAGATCAAAGTGCCCAGATATTTCAAAGCAGTATCAGACCACTTAAAGTGAAAATTGGTTTGTAAGGTTAGCCCGGAAAGAGAAAGGCAGCTTTACGCCAATCGCTTCCGATTTGGCAAAGTTGATCTTAAGATTAGACAGGGCCCGTAATGGTCAAACTCCTTTAGAAGATTGGGGATAGAAATCAGGGGCTTAGTTAACGTAAAAATCATATCGTCAGCATAGGTGGAGATCTTACTCGTGGTTTGGCCTCAGCCCCCCAACATCCAATCCCACTACATCCAGGTTCTGCCTAATCTTACAAAGAAAAGGCTCCAATGTGAGGGCGAAAAGAAGGGGGGACAAAAGGGCATCCCTGCAGAGTTCCATTAGAGATAGAGAAAGGATCAGAGAGAACCCCATTCACCTTAACCGAGGCAGTAGAAGAGGTATAAACACTAGAGACCCAACGACACACAATCCTATATGACGAAGGACCTCGAACATGAATCCCCAATCCACACGGTCAAAGGCCTTTACAGCATCCGTACCTAGAAAGACGCAAGCGGTGTCTGACTGATCAGCTACATGGAATAAGTTCAAGACTTTAATAGTGTTGTCTCACGGGACGGCATATAGCCAACCTGGTCTTGATGTATGATGTCGTTGGTGGCGCGAGGCGTCGACCTTGGTGAACAGTTTGAGATCCACATTTAGAAGAGAAATTGGCCTATAACTTGCACAGGATGAGGGGTCTTTCCCATCCTTAGGGATCACGGAAATATGAGCTAGCAATGAATCTCGAGGAAAGGAGGCTGAATCCCCCAGCGCGTTAAACAGCTTAACCAAGTAGTGCACAAGATGTGGGAGCAAAGGCTTATAATATTGGATCGTAAAACCATCCGGGCCAGCGTCTTCCCCGATTTAGCCGAAATTAGTGCAATTTTCACCTCATGCAGAGAGATAGGATCCTCAAGCTCCCAACGAATTGGGGAAGGTAATCTGGGTAGACCTGAGGTCGTCAAGTACTCTTGTACGGAAGCCCTGGAACAGTAGATGGTCCCAAATTGTACAAGGTGGAATAGAAATCCCCAAAGGTCTTGACTCTATGCTGAGGAAGAGTGCAGCTAATGCCGTCTGGTCCCGCAATGCGTGGGACATAAGAAGCTAGGCGCTGTGATTGTAAAGCACAGGCTAAAGTCTGGCCACATTTGTCACCCAATTCATAAAATACTCGACGACAGTTTGCAGAGCCAACTTGGCTTTAAAGTGTAGAAGAGCAGTAATCTAATTTCGAAGAAGTAATTCTGCTTCCAGCATCGGGGGAGGTGCATGTTTATGACGCGACTCCACTACCTGGACCTTAGACAGAACGGCAGAAAGCTGCGCCTCCCGTTCCTTTTTGATTCTAGCTCTGTGATTTATAAGAACTCCCTTTATCACAGCCTTATGGGCTTCCCAAATCATTCCAGGGTTTCTATCTGAGGTGTCATTTACAGTAAAATACGCATCAAATCTCCCGAGCCACATCCGCCAAAACCAACAAATTCTGCAGGAGGCTTTCATTCAATCTCCAAGAGGAGTATCGAGGATCCAGAGTCCCCGACAATGAGTAACGAATTGTGATTAGAGAATGGTCTGACCTAGTAATATTACCGATAGGTGACTGTGTAGCTGTCCGTGGGGAATCAGAAAGTAGTCTATTCTCGAGTATAATTTATGGGGCGGAGAGTGGTAGGTATAGTCACATTCCACTGAGTGAAGAAGCCGCCACACATCATGAAGTTGTGCTCTATAAAGAGCTTTCGAGATACGTTTACGAACAAGGGGGTAACAGAAGAGGAACCCGTAGAGGTGTTGACGTTGGGTTCGAGAGGAAGATTAAAATCACCACCCAAAAGAAGGTGGCCTTCAGAGAACTCCAGCAATCGAGCAAGCACACCACGAAGGAAGAGGTCTTGTTGAGTGTTTTGGAGCATACGTCACCAATCTTACCTTTTGCAAAAAGGTACTGGCCCGCGTCATCCACCAAAATCTCTCGCGGCAACCATGGCACACGACGAGATATGAGGATCGATACACCTTTAGATTTAGCCAACTTGTTAGTAGTATGATAGGCAAAGGGAACTGTCTACTCCTCAGGTAAGGGAGTCTGTCCACTCAAAAGTGGGTTTCCTGTATAAATGCCACATCGGAGCGAAG